AGTTCCTTGAGCCTTTAACACAACAACCCCCAAACCTGGCATAGTGATGCACACCTGTCACCCTAGCACTTAGAAACCTGATGTAGAAAGAATGAGTTCAACGCCAGCCTGGATGGCATACCATATGAGACAATGTCTCAAAAAACAAAACAAAAAATCCACACCCGACTCCCCTCCCTGATGCCGTCTCTACCACCACCTGACAAACTATATACTCCACTTGTTTACTTATTATCACCTGTCTCCTCCTGCCAGAATATGAGCTCATAGCAGGGTTTCATGACGAACTCATATGTTTGGTAGTCTTTGCCTGTCTTGGTTATAGTCATATATTTCCAGCAACTATAATAGTACCTGGCATATAATAGGTACTCAATAAATATTTGTTGCATGAATCTTTCAAACTAATCCCAGATTGTAAAGATTATTACCATTTCCCATTTTATAAAATTAGGGGACTGAAGCTCTGACAGGTTAAGTAACCTGATCTATCTCCCTCAGCTAGAAGGCAAAGCCCTTGGGAGACCAGTCAAGGGTCTCCCAAAGGCCACTGGATTTTAGATGGCTCACAGATGGGCTTTTTAAAACTGAAAAATACTGATTGCAAGAACATGAATAATTCTTGACCTTACCTCATAATTTATCCAAAATAGTTTATGGATTTAAATGTAAAACTATAACACTTCTAGGAGAAAAAAAAAAAAAAACAAGAGAAAAATCTTTGGGTATATGGTTAGGCAAGGAATTCTTAAATTTGCCAACAAAAGCACAACCCATAATAGGGAAATTTGATAAATATAACTTTATCAAAATTAGAAACAGCTAAAAATTCATGTCAAAAAGATGAAAAAACAATACACACACTGGAGAAAATACAAACAAATGGTACATGCATTAAAGGACTGGCATCTAGAACACATAAAGAACCCTCAAAACTCAACCCTAAAAAAAGACTACTGTTAGAAAACGGGCAAAGATCTGAACAGACAATTCATTGAAGAAGGTACAAGACGGCAAAATTATGTGAAAACATGTTCAGCATCACCAGGTGTTAAAGAAATGCAAGTTAAGACAGTGAAGGGGTATCACTTACACATCTCTCAGAATATCTGAAATAAAAAATAGTGGGCTGGGGATTTGGCTCGGTGGTTCTGCTGCCTGCCTCACAAGGGCAAGAACTTGTGTTTGATCCCCAGTACCAAAAAAAAAAAAAATTAGTGACAACACCAAATGCTGGCAAGGATGCAGAAAACTGAACCATTCACACACACTGCAGTGAGAATGTAAAATGATTAATTGCACTCTTGGTCACTTACCCCAGAAACATGACAATTCATGCAAAAGCCTATCTATTAATGTTCAGTCTGTACTTGTTATAGACAAAAACTGAGCCGGGCATGGTGGCACATGCCTATAATCCCACACTCAGTAGGCTGAGAAAAGAGGATCACTGTGAGTTCGAGACCAGCCTGGGCTAACACAGTGAGTTCCAGGTCAGTCTTAACTACACAGTAAAACACTGTCTCAAAAAAACTGGGACCAATCCAGATACCTGTGTATAATAAATGGTTAAACTGTGGCCTACTCATACTCATCAGTAAGAAGGAATGAAGCATGATACATACAACAATGTGGATGAATCTTCAGAATAGCACACTGAATTTAAAAAAAAAAAAAAAAAAAGCCAGGTCTGGGATGGGGCTCAGTGGCGCTGCACCTGCCTGGCAAGTTCAAGGCCCTGAGTTCCATCCCCAGTACCACAAAAAAAAGGAAAAAAAAAGGCCAACCTCACTAGCAACATAATTCAATAGAGGAAAAAAACAGTATTTCGACAGTGATGAGATAACAGGATATCCATATGCAAATGAATCAAAGTGGATTCCTACCTCACACCACATACAAAAATTAACTCAAAATTAATCAAAGACCTAAATATAAGAACTAAAACTACAAAACTCTCAGGAAAAAAGCATAGAAGTGAATTCTCATGACTTTAGATTAGGCAATGGTTTCTTAGATATGATATCAAAAGCACAAACAACAAAGAAAAATAAATAAATTGAGCTTCATCAAAATAGAAATCCTCTGCTTGGCACAGTGATGCATGCTTGTAATCTCAGAATTAGGAGGCTGAGGCAGGAGGATCATGAGGTGAAGGCCAGCCAACGCTACATAGTGAGTTTAAGGCCAATCTGTACCATGCAATAGGATCCTGTCTTAAAAAAAAAAAACTGTTGTGCTTCAAAGGACACCATCAAGAAAGGGAAAACACCATCCTCATAAAGGGAGAAAATATTTACAAAGATATCTAATAAGAATCTAGTATCCAGGCCAGGTGTGGTGGCTCATGCCTGTAGTCCCAGCACTCAGGCTGAGGCAGGAGGATTGCTGTGAGTTCGAGATCAACCTGGGCTGCATAGTGAATTCCAGTTCAGTCTCAACTACATAGTGAGACCCTGTCTCAAAAAACCAAAAAGAACCACAATACGACACTATTTCATGCCCACTCAGATAGTAATAATCAGAATGCACATTATATGTTGGTGGGCATGTAGAGAAATTGGAACCCTTATCTTCTGCTGATGTTAATGAAAATGGTATAGATACAGTTGAAAAAGTATCTAACAGTTCCTCAAAGGTTAAACATCAATTATGACACATTTGATATATACACAAAAGAAAATATATTCTACATAAAAACAAGAACAAATACAGCATACGAATATTCATAGAAATGCTGCTCAAAATACCCCAAAACTATAAACAACCCAAGTGTCCATCAACTACTAAATGGATAAATAAAATTTATATAATGCAATATTATTTGCCAAAAAAGAATGGAAACAGAACGCTGATACATCCTACAACATAGATAAACCTAGAAAACATCATGTTAAATGAAAAAGCCAGTCACAAAAAGCTACCTATTGTATGATTTTATATATGTAATGATGTCTACAAAGAGACAAATCTGTAGAGACAGAAAGTAGATTAGTGTTTGTTTAGGGCTAGAGGAATTAGAGTGAAATGTGAGTAATTGTGAAAGGAGACAAGGTTTCTTTCTTTTTTGGGGTGGAGGTTTGAGACAGGGTCTCACTAAGTAGTTCAGACTGACCTGGAACTCACTATGTAGCCCAGACTGGTCTCAAATTCACAGTGATCCTCCTGCCTCAGCCTCCCGAGTGCTGGGATTACAGATGTGCACCACCATGCCCAGCATAAGGTTTCTTTCTGAGGTGATGAAATGCTCCATACCTTTGTTGATGGTTGCATAACTCTATAAATGTGTTTAAAACCACTGAATTGTACACTTTAATGAGTGACTTGTATGACATGTGAATATATTGCAGTGTTACAAAAAAAGACACGATTCTAAAAGGTTATAGATTTCAAAAGGCATGATTTCAATTATGTAACATTTTTGAAATGGCAAAGCTCTAGAAATGAAGAGCAAATGAATCGGTGATTATCAAATGTTGGGGAGGGAAGGATGAGAGACAGGTAAATGTGACCATACAAGGGCAACACAAGGGTCCTGAGGTGACTGAACTGTTCAGTATTTTGACTACAGTGGGGAATACACAAACCTATGGGTGTGATAAGCGGTATAGAATGAAATACCCAGAGAGATACACCCAAACGAATACAAGTGAAACTTGGAGACTAAAATCCATCAGTGTAGGGGCTGAGGATTTAGCTCAGTGGTTCTGCTGCCTGCCTTGCAAGCACAAGGACCCACCTTCGATTCCCAGTACTAAAAAAAAAAAAAGATCCATCAGTGTAAATATCTTGACTGTAACATCATGCCATAGCATTGTAAGTTACCACCATAGGAAAAAAAAAAAGGATAAAAAGGTTGCAGGGAATCTCTCTGTTTCTCTTTTTTTTGGGGGGAGGGGGGCGGTGTATCGGGGATCGACTCAGGACCTTGCACTTGCGAAGCAGGTGGTGGAACCACTGAGCTAAATCCCTAGCCCTCTCCGTACTTTTCTTATAACTGTACATGAATCTACACTCAGTTCAATGAAAAGTTCAATACAAACAAGATACTGAGATCACAAAGAACATTATTCTCAATTTCTCTTCTGAGAAACAGAGTCCCCTTTGGTGCAGGTATATACCATGGATCATCCTTTCACATTTTTGGGGTTTGCTTTTTTTTTGGTACCAGGGATAGAACTCGGGGGTAGGCAGCAGAACCACAGAGCTAAATACCTGGCCCTACTTCACCTTTTCTAACAAGGTGGAGCAGGCTTCCACTTCAACGCCCAGATGAGAGAATCCAGCTAGAATTTATCACACACTTTTATTTTATGGTACTTAGTTGTGTATTTTGTCTAGATGACATATAGTAGAATTATAACACAGATTCTGGAACCAGCCAGCCAATTCCACTTCTACCACTTAACAGCCGTGTGCCAGTCACTTAATGTCTATGAACCTCAGTCACCTCATCTGTGAAATGGGCATATCAACAGTATCTCTATCATGGTGTTATGGTTTTATTTTTTGTCTCTTTGGGGTTTTTGGTCTTGGGGGATTTTTTTAATTTGTTTATGTATGGTTTTTGTTTACTTCTATGTTTTCTGTTTTTTGAAGGTTTTTTGGGAGGGGGCGGCAATAGGAATTGAACCTGGGGCCTTGGCACTGAGATGCATTCCCAGGCCTGTTTTTACTTTTTATTTTGAGTCTCACTAAATTTTCTCACTGGAATTTTTAATCCTCTCAGAGCGCTGGCGTTATGTGTGCACCACCATGCATGGCCCATGTTTTAAATGAGGAGATGTGTGCGCAGACACCTATGTTTAAGAGACCCACACAAAAAGTATTAGCTATAATAACCTTTACCATTACAAGGGCTGAGTAAAAATAGTAACTTTTTAGAAGCACAGACCCAAGCCATACTGCCTCTTGGAATGTGCCCTCTGCTCCTCCACTACCCTGAGCCCACACAGGCTGTCCAGCGAGACAATGGGGCAGGAGGTAGCGGCTGCACCCACCTGCACATTTTGTGCGGCTGAGGAGCGGTGGCCCAGGGCGGCCAGTGCCCCCATCCCCCGGGCGGGTGAGCAGCACGCTGATCTCATACTCGGTGTCAGGGTCGAGGTGCCACAGCTTGTAGGTCTGCAGGCTGACAGCATGCACCTCGGCCCAGGGACCACGGGCCATGCGATATTCGATCTCCTTGCGCACAATCGGCCCGTCACCGATGATGGAATTGGTGTTCAGCTGGATGATGAGGTAGGTGGGGCCCGCACGCAGCAGCTGCGGGGGTGCGATGGGAGTGGGGGGCTCTGCGAGAAGGAGAGGTACAGCCGACCGATGCGCCTGAGATCTCGAACCCAACTCCATAGCCCTACCCCATCCACAGCCCCAACACCCCTCCTGGTCCTCCAGACTCCTCATGCTGCCACCAAGCCCTCGATCGATCGATCTCCAGCCTCCACTAAATCTCCAGCCACTAATGGGCATCTGGTTACGACTGCTGACCCGTCCCCAACCGTTCCCTCAAGCCCCCGGGGGTCGCCCAGGGTCCTTGCCTCCCGCCTCAGGAGCCTGAATGTATACTAACTCCAGTCAGTATCTGGAAGGCACAGCCTAGCTTTCACCTGGCCCGTTCCCACCCCATCAGCCTGGCCCCTCACCCGGGCCACATCCCCACTGGGGCCTGCCCCTTTGATCCGACCTCAGCGGGGTCAAACACCACCCTGCCCACTGAGTCCTATGGAGCGGCCAGTCCGGCTGGACTCCTCCGACCACGCCCACCAGACTTTACCCCGCCCCCTCCGCTGGCCCCGCCCCTCGGCCTGTGTGGGGCTCACTGACCCTTGACGATGAGCTCTGCGAAGTTGGAGACACCAGCGCCGCGCGGGGCCTGGGACACGCAGCGGTACAGGTCTTGCTCGGCGCGGCTGACTGCAGGCAGCGTGAAAGTGGCCAGGAAGCGCCGATGGCTGATGTGTCGCACAGTGGCCGCAGGCACCAGCGCCCCGCTCTGCCTCTGTGGGAGAAGAGGGGTCAGAAGGTCAAGGGCCAGGGTGAGGGGACAATGTTCTGGCCCCAATTACCCATCCCTACTACTTAAGGTATCTGGGGGTTCCTGGAGCTGTGCTCTGCCCCAGAGTGACTGGGGACCCAGAAGGGCAGAGCAAAGCCTGGGGACAGCCAAGACTCGGTGCTCTGGTGCTGAAGTTGAAGGAAGGACTCGGCTCTGAAGAGCCCACACCACCCCTGTCCCCCAGGCCACAAGCTGCTCTCCTCACCTGGAGGAGAAAGCGCTCTGCCTCAGCTGCTCGTCCTGCTGCCATGCACTGGAACGATGCATTCTGCCCAGCGTTGACCTCCACATCGCCCAGACGGGAGAAGTGCGGGGCCTTTGCTGGGGGAATGAAGTCAGGGCATGAGCTGGGCCTGAGACCCCTGCAGGGAGGAGCAGCGGCTGCCCACACCCCTCACCCCTGCACGTGCAGTGGGCTGGGACTCACCGCAAGGGTAGCTGAGAAGCAAAATGTCATCTAGGCCCAGGTAACCCCTGCGGTCAGGGGAGATGAGGGCCTCAAACAGCACCTGGAGGAGGCAGGAAGGTCCCTATCATACTGACATCCCTTCAGCCCTGCCCTCTGGGGGCACTCCAGGCCCATCCTCAACACCCCTGCTCATACTGACCTTCCCTACCAAGCCAGCTGGTTCAGGGCAGGGTGTCAGATGCACAGAGCAAGGTCAAGCGCAAGGCCCTAAAGCATCAAACTCTTCCCAATCTTCCAACCCTCCCCTGACCACAGCTACAGGCTACTCTTATTAACAGTGACTTCTGATGCTACAGCTAGACTAATCCAGACTAACTCCAACCCTGAGCACAAATCGACTCCTGATGCTAAACACAGGCTAACATCAACCCAGTCGGAGCTCAGAGGGGTATCCCTCAGCCCTCACCCCCAGGCACAGGATGACCACAGGCTGAACCCAGCCCACCTGATACTCATTGGGCCAGAAGGTGCTGACAGCCAGCTCAGCCTGATGCCACTGACGGCCCTGGGATCCGGTCATATTCCAGACGGCGCTGCCCAGGGGGCCCCCATTGACACGCACATAGACACCCAGGATGCCAGGGCTGTGGCCATCCCGGCTGTATAGGAAGTAGCTGAACTGTACACAGTGGGTGTCATTCTCACTCAGGCTCTGGAAGATGATATGGGCCCGCTGGCCTGGGGCATGCTGCGAAGCGTTGACCATTAAGTAGGCACCTAGAGAAGGAGGAAGGGAAGGAGCTGAGGGAGGGGCAGGGGCAGGTGGGCACTGAGAAGGGGGCAGAAACAGAACTGCAGGTCGTTGGGCACCCCAAGACTCAGGGGTTTAGATTCTGCTTTCCGCATTCTGGCCCCAGCTCTGACTCACAAGGTAGGTCCCTCCCCTTCGCAGCGTGTGGCCTAAGGAGAGCACTGAAGCTGAGGGAAAACACACAAACGTGTCCTTCCAAAAGCCCACTGTGGCCCCTCACCATCTGCAGGTCACAGTCCAAGTCTGTGCCCTACCTGAGACATGGCTTTCAGGGCTCCGTGCCACACCTTTGAAGGCAGGTAATTCATCGCAGAAGTCAAGATCCACGATAGGCTCTCCGAGGCCTCAGCTTCTAAACCTTCCCGCCACACCCCACTGTGCTTCCCTCAGGCCCTGGATCGTTCATAAAGTGTAGGTCTGTCTCCCCACCAGCCTGCAAGCTCTGCTGTGCCCCTGCAGGGCTCTGAACCCAAGCCAAATGAGTATGTGGGACAGACTGAATGAATGGATTTATTTTCCTTCCCACCCCCACTTGGAGTCTAAATTCCTGGGACGCAAACTCTTCATTTCCAACCTGGAGAAAGGCAGCCCTGGCTCTTCCCTGAGAACCCAAGCTGTGTACTTTTGGGAGGCGGGACAGTGGGCGGGGGGGGGGGGGCAAGGATTCTGAAGGACCTGGCTGGGGACTG